AGAAGTGAACCTATGTAAGTGGAAAAGGTCCACAGTAGACCAGAAAGAAAAGAGGCCACAGAACAAAACCCTAAGATGTTAATACATAAAGATTGGCCAGAATAAAAAATGTCAGTATAAGAAATGAACATAGAACAGAAAATTAGAGAACCACTAGAAAAATAGAAAATTGCACTAAGAACGTCTATGAAGGATTGAGTTTGCAGAATGAGAATGCATTTCACAACAAATGCTTCAACAATATCAGCTCTTCATATACATACACAAAATATCCTACTGTAGTCCAGGGGACACAGGGTTGAACAAGAACAGGTCATTGTTTTCATGGTGGGGGAAACAAATGTTAATTATCACAAATTAATGCATAGTTGCAATGATGAGACATACTACAGAGAAGAGGGATATGATATTTTGATATCATAGAATAAGAAGACTTGATCCTATGAAAGAATTCAAGAAAAAATTGCCTTAGAATTGATGCCTGAACTAAGATCTAAAAGGAGATTGGAAATCAACCAGGTAAATTGAAAGGGGCCAGGGGGAGAGAATTGCAGACAGAACAAATGTGTAAAGCTCCTTTGGTAACAGGGAATGTGGTGACTGATAAAAAAAAAAAAAAAAAAAAAGTCCCTTATGTGTCCAAAGAAAAGAGAGCAGGGACTTGATATTACTTTAGAAAGAGATCATGCTAGAGAGGTGGATAGGAGACAGGCATGTACGATAAGCTGAGAGGAAAACGGGGTGGTTGACATGATCAGATGAATATTTTGAGTTGCTTTCTCTGGCTGGAATAGGCAGAAAAGATCAGAGTGGTATTAAGCAAGATTCTTTCAGTTTCAATTAACAAAGTTCCCACTTACACTGGATTAAAGACAAAGATTATTTATTGGCTTTAAAATTATAAAGCATAGCCAAGAGCAGATAGTCAGGCATTTGGGGATCCAGATACTTAATTATGTTTTCAGTAATACATCTCTCTGCATTATAGCTCCGCTTTCTACTGTGTTGGCTTTACTTCTAAGCAGAATCTTTTCTCCTGGGGATAAAAGGGAAGCTGGCAGCCTAGAGTAAAAAATGTGATATATTATCACCCCAGCAGAAAGAGAACTTCTTTTTCCCTACCTTTCCAGGAATATCCCCAGGAGTGTCACGTAAGAAACAACTTGATCACATATCCATCGATGAAACAACCATCATGGCCAAGGAAGAGGCCATAGTCAAGGTCAGGTCTGAATGACTTGCTCTTTTCTGGAGCCAGAAAGTACAGTCAATCCCACCTGAACCACATAGCCTGAGAGGAGGAAAGGGTCTGTTCCCAACGGAAACTTTGTATCCTGTCACCAGAAGTGGGAGATCCAGAGAAAATATGGAGGGACTGGTTAAGAGGATATGGTGATATCCCTGGATAGAGGTAACCATAGTTTAGATTGAGAGCAGAGATTTGAGAGTTATTTGGGAGAGTACATTCATAGAATTTTGTAATGAATTAGACAAGAGGTTAGGAAGGTTGAAGTATTAGCAGTGTGTCCTAAGTTTCATGTTTACATAACTGGTGACATCATTCACTGAAGTGTCAAAACCGAAAGAGAACCAGGTCATAAGGTAGGGAGGCAGGCAGACCAGTGTAAGTTTCATTTGGAACATATTTAGTTGGAGGTGCCATTGAGTTCTAAAGATCAGTGACAGCATCTGGGCTGGAGTTGTAAGCTTCCCCAGCACAGGAATGGTTCACTGATTTGAAGGGGTCTTGACCATGGATGGTGACAGAGGCAGAGCCAGATTTCTGTGAAGAGTGGAACAGGTGACAGGTAAGGAAACAGAGACAGCAAGTATGCATGAGTCATTAAATTAAATGTAGTAGATTAAATGTGGCTACAAATGCATTACTTACCGTGGAATTTAGTTTGCTTCTCAGTGATTCTGGGCTGGCTTTAGTAACTTTCGTGACCGGAAGAACGCAGCAGACGAACTATTCTGGGACTTCCAATGCTAGGTCATAAGAAGACTTGTAACCTCTGTCTGAGTCTCCTGTAACATGTGCTGTGAAGGGGCCCAAATAGCCAGGCCAAATAAAATGTTCTTGGGCAAATTATTAAGCTCCTTAAGCCTCAGTGTTTTTATTTGTATAATGAATCAGTACTCACTCATTAGGGCTGGTTGCTGCTTTATCATTACTGCCCACTTAGATTTGAATGAGATGAACCAAGTAGTGTAAGTGGAGATAAGGTTTTACTTATTTTTCTTTATAAAGGATTATTTTTATATCTTAACACAATATGATAATTTTAGTGGTAATCTTATCATAAATTGTCATTTAACCCATTTTAAAGACGTGGCAAGAAAAATTAAAAAGAGAGCAATACATTAATAATTTTAGATCTAGTTTGGACTTTGGATTGAATTCTAGATCTTTCCTCAGTGAAGGCACCATATTATTAAACAATTAAATCATCAGTCAAGTAAAATATCTATAATCAGAACTCCTAAAGGCAATAAATTGGATGCTTAGTGCTTTTGCATCAGTGGGGACATCGAGTGGTGATATTTTCAGATGCACTTTGCCATTTGAGTAGGACTTTTCTGAAGTTACAAATAGCTTTACTCTAACATCATTCCCAGAAATACCCCCTCTGAAAGTCAGAGAATTAAATTACTACTTTAATCTAGTAACTCTTATAACCCCAAAGAGAAATTTTTAAGGAATACCATTCTCAGATTAAATATTTGTAGAAATGCCTTTTTAAAGAAGGACTTGTGGGTATAATATAGCCACTAATTATATCTGACTTGCTTCTTTCAAATGAGGAAATAAAAAGGGTTGCAATCAGGACACCTGGATTATAAGTAAAGCCACTTGGTTCCAAATAGTACTCCCCAGTTTCCATAACCTTTCTGGACAGTTTCCTATGTAACCCAGTGAGCTTGCATTTCCCAGGCATGAGAGGAAAGGAGTCTCTTTCGACTCTTATTGCCTAAGAACCCCCTTTCCATCAGGGTTGCAGATAGTAAAGAGAACATTTTCCTAGTTGCTCCCAGAAATGTGACTCTTGGTTGCATTTTTCCACCCGCTGAGATGACGTGGTCTGCTACCAGCTCAGTGGCAGCCCATATTTCGCTCCAGGGATTTATAAATGATGACATCCTTTCAGTATGTGAATATTTTGCTGGTATCACTCCCCCCACCCCTACTTTCTTGGAAAAAAATAGACTTTTCGGGGTCTAGACTACTGGAGAACCAACTTCTGAAGGCCCCCTGTGAAAACTGTATGTACGACTACACGTGATGTGTTGTGTTGAGCCGTTTTCTGATTAGCCACCAGCCTTCAGTGTTACTACACTGGAAATGAGGCTACCTGCGCCACCTGGCATGGAGAGTGTGGTCTTTATTGATATATTGATCACCACCTGCATTAAATCCAGACCACCGGGAAACTCTAACTAAATACTTTGAGGCATGATAACAGTCACCAAGTACCAAATCCACCTGCCAGTTATAGAAATAACTGAGGTTTGGTAAAAAATAAATAAATAAATAAGAAGTTAATTTCTATTCACTTGAATTAAAAATCACCTAATATTATCTGCTGACTTTTATTAAATAGAACTGAGTATGATAATGTGTTTTAAAACTGAACTGTCAAAAACAAGCCGATCTTTGGATGGTCCTGTTTATTCTAATTCTACTAAGAACCACAGCAAATCTGCAACCTCTTTACAGAAATATAAAAACGAGAAAATGTTATCTACACAGTGCCTAAAAAGATTAATAACTCAAATTTATATTGAAACTATATGTGAATCTCTATCACGCCCTCTTAAATTCTCCTCACCTCAAATCCTCACACTCCCAAATCATGGACAAAGAAAGACGTACTACCTGTGAGCTAAAAGTCAGTATCTCATACTTGAACAGATGCTAACAGACAGTGCCTACATCATTTTCTGAACTCAGCCCCTCTCCTCTCGCTCCCTTTATGGAATAATTTCAGTTCTTTTAAGTCTTATAACTGGACAAGCACAAGAGAAAAATCACATCAGAACAAAGGGAAAACCTTCCTGAGAACAGTATGATTGCCAAGCTGTAGCAGAGTCTGGCCGCTTTGCTTGATTAACATATGTAACTATAAGCCCTTAGTAATTTTAAACTAATGGACACATTAGAAGGTGCAACAATTATTTGTGTTTGCTTTCTGTGAACAGTTGTTTCAGATGCTCCAAGGACATGGCGGTTTTCTCTCTCTCACTGGTAAACTTGTGTGAATTATTCCAATGATCGTCTCAACCTAACTTTCCACTTAATTGTTCTATTTTTGCATCTCAAATAATGAACAGTCAAAGATGTATGGCCATCTCTCTCTCTCTCTCTCTCTCTCTCTCTCTCTCTCACGCACACACACACACACACACACAATGGTTAATAAAATTTCAAAGGTTGTGAAAAGAAGGAAGTCAATTGCAGTCTGCTTCACTTCACTGTAGTGTCTATGTTTTCTTATCCCAGCACTTTAATAATACAAAATATATATATATATATCAGCTCAATACCTTTAAATATTTTATTGATACCATTAATACATTAATGTATCAAGATATTTTCAGCAAGTAGATAAAGTAAATATGACCTAACTCATGATTTCTAATGTACTGTAAGTATTAGCATAATGTAATGGTGTACATTCTTTTGTTGTTGTTGTTTGAACATATGTTGTTGTCCTGAATAATTTCTATCTTCCTCCACACAAACACAACCTGACATTATATGGTACACATTAAGGGAAAAATTTTATTTAGTAGGCTCCCTTGAAATAGGATTAAAACAAAAACTTGCTCTATTCATTTATGACATCGACAGGATTATCCTGAATCCATGAGATGATAAATATTCAGCTTTATCCTCTAAGCCAACTGTTTGGTTATTTTCAGCCCTACCTTAAAGATTTTATGTCAATAACTGCTAATACTATTAGGGACAGTCTTTCAAAAAATAATGAACCAAAATATTTCTTCCTTTAAGCAATTTTATTTATGGTGGAATTTTCAAAACGTCTTATATCTTGAAATTATCCACAAAGTACTATTTTGTGCTTACATTAAAAAGATGTATTTCTTATAAGAAAAGATAATAATATATACCATTAGGCAGTACTGTTATATTTTTATTTAATACAATATAACCAAAGGATTAAAGAGAAAAAAAGTTAAATATATTTAAATTTTCCTGTAACTGACTTCCAGCTGTTCTAATGTTTTGAAGAAAAAAAATAAAGATCTAAACACCAGAGATAATATTTTGATAAGTGATATTTATAAAAAATATATATAAGTTAAGCATTGCAACAAGCTACCTTCAATGAATTGCCCCCTATCAGAATAATATTATTGGACTAAGTATCTAAAGCAAAGAATAAAGAAAAAAAGAAGGGGGAGAGGAGAAAAAAAATAAGTATTAATGGCAATGGTCATTTTTTAGTTAAATACATTTTCTTATAAAGTGGCAAGATGATATGTACAAATTTACAACAGAAAAAAAATCTTTATATACAAGTTGACTTGCTTTTGGACTCTTTGGGCATCCTTCCCCCTGTGTAATAGGCCCTCCTGGCAGAACTGACTGAAACTAGATTTTTAGTTCATAGCACATGATAGATTAGCCTTGAACTAGAGGCCCCTGGGGTTGCAGGCTGTGACTCCGTGCTGGCAACTGGGGAGAGAGAGGCTGGGTCCTGCAGAGGCAATCCAGGTTGCTCTGAGTTGGTGATCCGATCCACTATGCTGGATAAGCAATCCAAGCTGGATAAGGAGCTTTTGTCTGTGGCATATACTAAGAATACAAAGAGAAAATCATTAAAAAAAAAAAAAAAATCAAATATATAGGCTTTCTTATGATGTTGCCCTTTAAACTGCAGGTCAGCTCCTTTGACACTCAGGGGTCAGCTGGTCACAGAAAGCCTCATGTAGAAATCTTCAACAAATATCTAGCAATTCAGTGATGGTGAATGTAGGGAGTAGAAAATCCTTCTGGTACTATTTCAAGCAGAAGTGCACATGTGTGTATCGGTTAGGTGGATTGTGATAAAAAAAAAAAAAATGTGTGTGTGTGTGTGTGTATTTTGCTCTGCCAAGAACTCCGCATAAGAACCATTACTTCTGTTCCCTTCCCCCATACTACCAGGAAGGATGGACTGCTTTGACAGACTGAACTGTAAAGTTGAGCTGGTCTTTAAACTCCTCTGCAGTCATCATTTCTTACCATTTGGTACATCAGGACAGTAGATGCTGTCAAAACTGCTGCTCTTTCTGGACCAGACAGGGCTGTTACATTCAGGCTGTAGTAGAAGACACAAAAGAAGTTAGTTTTCAGGTCTTGGCAAAGGATTCTCTGCTCTAGAGCCCACTAGCTCCCTAAATTGACCACTGTCAATCACCTTCATTGCTCTGATTTAGGAAGGTTAGTCCTACCAAATTGCAAGGGCACTGAGGTCAATCTCTGTGCTTGGACAAGAGGAAAGCCACAGCAAAGGGAAGGGGGCGGGGGGTGGAATTCACCAGCAATGTGCATTGGGTTAACCATGCAAAATGGATTGGAGTAGAAGGAAGCCACACTAATTCAGGGAGAGAACACTTTCCCAGGGCAAAAACACATTAAAACCTGGCAGCGCTGGAGCAGACGCCCTCTGTAAAGAATGCACGGACATCGCCTTCCAGCCAGGCCTCAGCAGAGCAGGGATCGGGGCCCATATATTTCCTTCCATTCCCTTATTAAGTTATAAACTGGGGGGCCATGGGAGCTTGAAAGAGTTGTCTTTAAATACTAGTGTATGACAGGGTTCACTGGTGGTATATTTTGGAAATTGAGCGATGGACAAAACATGTGATGGATCATTCACAGCCACCTAGCTCACATGACAACTCCCTCCTACAATGTACACCTGGAACCTGGTAGGAGGTCAAACCAAAGTACATTCAACAGCCGTGTCCTGGCATCTTTCCAAATGAGACACCCCTGTTCTCTTAACAGCAACTGCCTCCCCACACTCACCTACCACAAAATAATCTTTGAATATTTATTTGCCACACCTGTTTAAATGATATCTAAGGAGTTTTGGAAGAGATAGGGGTGCCCAGGTAAGTACCAGAGCTGTCTCTTACCATGCCATCGGAGCAGTTGGAGGTGGGGCTGGTGGGCTCTGAGCAGCTCTGTCCAGGCATGCTGTAGTAGTTCTCCACCTGCTCCCTCAGCAGCTCTTGCAGGCTCTCGATGTAGCGGATGGCATTCCTGAGGATTTCAACCTTGGGCAGCCTCTGGTTGGGGTTAGTCGTGGTGCACCTCTTGAGCGTCTCAAAAGCCTGATTGACCTTCTTCAGGCGTCTGCGCTCGCGCATGGTGGCCGCCTTCCGCCTATCCATGGTGGTGGACTTCCTCTTGCATGCTTTGCAGGCCCACATGAGGCAGTGGCCAGCCTGGTGGTGGCCCGTAGGTGCTCGCACGTGCTCGTCCTCATCTGAGCCTTGCAGCTCTGCTTTGTGCGCCCCAAAGGCAGCCACTCGAGGCTCAAACTCGTCCCCGAACTCGCCCTCAGGGGAAGGGATGCAGGAGCCATCATAGAAATACTCAGAAGGCGAGAACTGGCAGCTGTCCATCATGTCCATCCTCTGTGGTGAGGCAGGCGGTGCACCTGGACAGCAGCGAGGGGGTTAGGGGAGAAACTGTAGCCTGGCGCCGCTGTGGGCCGGCAAACCCAGGCCGAGCTCCCTGGTCGGTTTCTGCGGTAATTAACAAGGGCAGACGCCTGGCGGCCTGGGTCGGCCTGCTGGGGTTAGGGCTCTTTATATATTCTTGGGGGAGGGAGGCCGGCCCCAGTGGCCAGGCACTATTAGCATATCCCACCGCAACCCCCGCCGGGGCCGTCTGGGCAAACCTCCGCCTTTCCTCTGGAGACAATTTGCTGTTTACTGCCCCTTTGGACGCTAATGGTTTTACTGCATTTCTGCCGGGGGCGGAGGATGGTTCCCCCAACCCGCTCATTTGCACTCTCTAGAGTCACTTAAAGAGTGTCAAAGACAAAAGAAACGAAGGAAGTCCACCTTTTTGCTGTTTCTCGCACAATTACAAAAATAATAATTAATAAACGGAACTCACCAAAAGCTGACCTGCCTTTCCAATCCTGGGTGTGAGGAATCACCTTACTTTTAAGTGTCAGTTTCTTTTTTCCATGAACTTTAGTTATCTCAGGATACCTTTTTTTTGAAGTGACACTTTCAATCATGGAGTGAATCTAGATTGTTTACCATATCTCTTTTGTTCTGATCAGATTGTCCTGTTTTAAGTCCTATGTTAGTGGAGTTAGGCAGGGAGCTCAGTTCTCTCTGTGTGTCTATTCATCTGAAAGGAGGTGGGCTCAGGGGCCAGGTGATGGGGAAAGTCCTGCTATCCCTTCCCCTTCTGCACGTGTTCGCGCCGCCTCCTTCCTCCCAGGCTTTCCCTGGACCCCGAGCGGGCCAAAGACCCAGCACGGCCGCCTCTCTAGGATTTGCATTCGAAGAAATGCAGTTTTAGAAGGCGAGCTCCCTTTCTAGGGTCGCGACTCCTTTCTCCCTCTCTTTCTGCTCCGCCCTGTCATTTCAACAGACTAAACAGCCAAGCGGGGCTTTGGGGTCGCTCATTTTCTGCTTTCAGGCAAACTACCACCGTTACAGATGCATCCCAGCTGCCGGCGAGCGATCCTTCCGGGCTCGTGTAAAATTTCCAGCTCAAACCCTGAGTAACTTCACACGCTCCCGCGACAAAAGCCTTCCAGAAAAGTAATCATAGCAGGGTCTTTGAAACTTCGGTGGGTAGACGACGACGAGAGGGGAGGCCTGTCATTGAAGCGAGAATGAATCTATTAATCAACTTCTGCCAATCCTCCTCTGCCCTGAACCCGCGTCCAGATCACTTGGGGTTGGGGGTGCTGTTTGTCGATAGGAAGAAACAATGACTTAAGGCTTACACAGATAGATTTAAATAGTCTGAGGTTTTGGACCAGAGCTTGCGGGCCCTACTAAAACAAGAGGGATTGTTCTCCCCCTATCTGCTGTCTTCTGGTACAGTAACTGTTGTGGTTCCAGAGTTACTTTGGGAAGGGTGGTGCTTTCCTTTCTATTACTTTTCCACAAAATTATTTTCCTAAAGCCACCCTGACTGGCTGATCCCAGGTCTGCAGGGACCAGAGAAGTGCTAACTCTTCAGGGTGAGATCTGCTCTCCAAAGTCGTGGCCACAGAAACCAGGGGTGGGAGGGTTCCAGTCACCAAGTTTTGCTACAAGGTGCTACAGTCCCTCTTCCATGTTTTGTCCTCGCTAAGGCAAAGACCACCACCTTTTGAAAATGGGGCTCCTTTTCACACCAATGGGCTGCTAAATTGTCTAGCTAGTGGGAAATCCATCTGCACCTTATTTAGGACTATTAACAAGTGGATGCCTTTGAAATGAATACAGTAACCCAGGGCCATACCAGATAAAAGAGACAAGCTGCTAAGGACTGAGGCAGAATGAAGGCTGTATCCAGGCAGGTAAACACAGTCAAATGTATGCAAGTTGCTGCCTCTGAAATACTATAGTGGGAGATATTCTCACCCAGGGATTCTCAGCCAAATCCCACAGGTTCAGTCCAGCAGCAATACCGGCACCTTCTTTGGCTATGGAGTTCATATGTTAGCACGCTGGCCACAGCTACACAGAGTTATGTGTAGATTTATGATTTGGGTGCAAATAAACTTGCTCCTTAAAGTTTAGGTGGAAGATAGAAGTCAGGCTCCTGTAAACCTTTCAGCTGATTTCTTTCCACCAAGCACCCAGTGTGCTTTGTACCAACCTCTCAGTGTGGGATATTTGTAGCAAACAATTATTAAGGCTTTTCTGTTTACTAAGCATGTTCTCAACCATCTACTCCTTCCAATACTATGGGAACTATTAAATACTATGGGAACTATTAATGGGATACTATGGGAACTATTTATTATTAGATTCATTTGTAAAAGACTGTAACCAAAGTTCAATGGGTAGACAGTAATTTGTCACAGGCACTGGGAACGAGGCATGCCTTTGTCTAACTTGCACTCCTGAAGGTGAATTTTGTTTGCTTTCTTTTTCTCCCAATTCGGGCACAGTGCGTCCCCTTCGGCTGCAGGGCAGAAATTCGCAAAAGCTGGGTCCGCCGGTCTTTCTGTGCACTCCGGTCCTGGGAAGACGCTGTCGCTCAGGAGGCTCTGTCAGTAAGGGCAGTTCTCAGAGGTTAGTGCTGTCTTTGGTAAGGTGATCTCAAAACAAATTTGCCAGAGTGCCGCGGGCCAGTGGAACTAAAGTAGCCAAGAAAACACAAGCGCCCGGCGGCTTCATGGGACTTGCTGAAGGGGAGACAGGGTCCGGGATTAAGGACCCTTGGGATTCAAGTGCTGAAAATAGGATCTCAGAACCCAAACGTAAGAAAAACGAGACAACACTTTTAAACTGCTGTCAGGGGCTAAAGAAGAAAGGTTAAAAAAAAAAAAAATAGACAGTATACAAAGGAAGCCAGCGCCTCAAACATGCCTCGGGTCCCCAAATTCAGGAGAGGTTCCGCTGCCCTTTTCCTAGAGAAAAATGGGTGAGAAAAAAAATGTTTTTATGAGTGGTGAAGTTGAACAGAGAAGTATGAAAGAAGTTAAAAGTCACTTTTCAAGTCACTGGTTATTCAGGTGATCTCTTTTACTAAAAATCAGACTAGATTCTGGCTTTTGTTCCTTATAGAGAAGAATAAAAATATCAACTGTTTTCTAAGTGGACTTCTCACATGCTGAGATAACTTACATGTATTTAATGTGTAAGCAGGTTTTTAGAAATAATATCCTAGCACTGCTAAGAAAGCCTTGGAACAGGCAGATGAGAGGAAGGAAACAAGCCAGGGCTTGGTGTTGTACATGAATGTCCACCAAGGTTCTGGTGAAGTAGATAGATACTTTAATTTTTTTAATTTTACATTCTTAATATAAATAAATACATGTTTGATTTTCTTACAAGTTAGATCTATAAACTGGTTTTAATTGCATAGACCTTTAAGTAATCATCAACTTTTTTTTTTTTTTTTTGAGAAGCTATTTTAGCGTAAGCATTATGGCAACAATCCTAGTGTTGATGGACAGACTACACCAGCAAAATGATGTTCGGTGCTTCCTTTACCAGTAAAATTGGCCCACCTTAGGAAATCTGCATGCTTTTCTTAGTTGGAGAAGCAATTGTACATGGAAAGATAAGTCCATTTCGATTCACTTTCGCCTCTACCTTAGACCCTTATCAACTCTTGGACAAAAGGAGTTGTTCTAGAGATTTTTATTTATTATATATGACTTTCACAATGTGCTAAACAATTTCAAACTGTTATTAGCTCTGGGAACCAGGAACACCTATGTAAACACATTAATACCTGCCAAAGCTGCTGGAAAATTTTGTAGAGAAGACAGCTGAGGAAGACATTGGCCTCTGCTTGAATTCGAAGACTCCCAGGAGAGATCAAAGGCCTAAGTAAGGACTTTTAGCAGCCTTGAGAGTAGAGAAAGTAGCCAGTTCTTGCAACGTTATCTTTGTTCCAACAATATGGCATAGCCATTCCATGGAATAGGCTTACTGAACTATGCTTACAAAAATTGCTTTTTTTGTTTTTGTTTTTTTTCAGAATAAAACCTCTAGGACCAAGGGTCATATTTTTAACACTTCTTTTGATTTTAAGGGAGTCACTGGAGGGGTCTGTTGGAGAAATATATTGATGGCTTGGCTCTTCCAGGAAAAAACTGTGTTATTGCTAATTTTCTAATGCATTAAATTAGGAAATGATACATTCAAAGTTTAAATTTAAATATTTAAAAATATTTTTTAGATATGATTTTCTGGGAGGAGGATTTTGAGATGAATAAATGGGATAAATTATTACTTAGAGAAAGCACAAATTGATACATTATAACTTTAAGTCAAAAATGTCTTAAGGCTAGGAGTTACTTTAGTGACCCAAGACTTCTCTGGCAGTCTCAAGAGTAGTGGCAACAATGAATTTCAACACCACACTCCCATCTCCCAAACATGGCTTGGAATTCAATAATTCAGATGTGATCATTAAAGTTGGAGAAAGCTGACATTTCAGGTTTAATTATTTCAATAGAAATGTGAAAAAGAAAATCACTCATTATTTCATACTTGATAACTTTATGCCTGCTTCTGGGAAGATGCTCAATTTAAATCCCAAATTGCTTATCTTTACTACGTTATTACATCTTGATTTGCTGCTTCCATGGCCCTGCTTGTTTTGGCTTTGGCCTTAGTAAAGATTATTATCATTAATATCCAATAAAAACACTTTAATTGCAAACACACCAAGGATTTCATTGGAAAGCCTAACATGTTAGCTACAGCAGTGGAGGTCACATGAAGTCTTTGGGAAATATTTGCTCTATTTAACGAAGAGACTTCTATAGGCAAACCTATTCTAAACAATTTCTCAAGTTACCCAGCTAGGAGAGATAGAGAGGATTTGTTTTGCAAAGACTGAATCAAATCTATCAGCAAGTAAAGTCCATGAATTGATAAAAGCATTCTGCTAGTGAGCAGTTTAAAATGCAAATCTTAGAAATGCATGTGCAAATACAAGTGAAATGAGTTCACTTGATCAATTATGATATTTAACTTCACTATGGCATGAAATTGATTTTTAAAAATATAGGTGTGTATATACATACACACATTTCAGGAAAAATCTCTATTGATTCTCTGGAGAAAGTCATAGATACCTAATGAGTA